GATATAATCATTATTTCGTTACTAAGTAAAACTTTATTATAAATAAAGGCGTTCTCGCCCCAAGGAAAATTATGTTCTATTGGTCTCAAAATAAATAAGTCCCAAGTTTATTAAATAAATTGCCCATAAAATTATATAAATATTATTGCGCTAAATACACTCTTTGAACTCTAAAAAGCTATAAGTTGCCGTTCATTCTTTTCTTGTCCATGTGACCTAGAGTCAACAAGAGAAGTAACCGAAGCCTTAAATCACCACCAGCCAAATCTAACACACCTCTTTCAAAAGGTTAAAAACCCAGATTACACAAGTTTTTGGATTGTGAAGCGACCGAGTTGCAGTCCTTTTTGGTCATCACATTTTGGTGGTGACTGTGAGATCTGAAAAATAACAAAACGACGTTTGCTACCCCCTTCCCCCGATTCGAAAAATTGTGTTAACCCAGACAAGACCTAAATAAACAAAAAACTTACTAAAATCCAATCCAACAAGTTGTAACAGCCCACACTGGAAGGACTTCTTGTACCATTTAGCTCAGCCATCATGAATGCCACCCAGCTTAAAGAACTAATAGAGAACATGACCAAGTCATTTGAAGATGCAGCCAAGAACATCATGAAAGGAAATGGGTCCAGGTTCAAAGAAACAAACCATGTGAAGGTTAAGAGTTTCGGCAGAAATGAAGATGATGACCTAATAGAATGGTTCGATGATTTTGAGCATGCTGCGGAAGCCAACAATTGATCAGATAAAAGGAAGCTCAAGATAGCTTCCGGTTACCTAAAAGGAATGGCTGCTAACTGGTACAAGGATAATAAAGTGAATATCACGGAATGGAAGGATGAGGATAATCAAGACCATAGCTTTTACCACCTGCTAGTTGCCTTCTTTGCCACTCCGGAAAAGCAACACAAGTGGCAGATTCAGTTGAATAGTCTTACCCAGCTTGAAGATGAAAAGGTGGATGCTTATGCAACCAGGTTTAAGAAACTCCTAAGCCGGGTAGACCCACAAGACTCGCTACCCGCTCAATACATCGTAAGGATGTTCCTAAGTGAGTTAAAAGGAAAAATGGTGATCTTCGTAGCAGTAACATCTCTGAACGACCTTGGTGAAGCTATCGTGGCAGCAAGAAAAGTCAAGGCGGGCAAATATTATAGTGCCTACGTACACGAAAATTCAGTAACCCTGATAAAAAAGACGAACTAATTGAGGCATTAGTTAAGCAAGTACAGCAACTATCGGTCAACTGCGTCGCGGCACATAACCAACAAGAAAAGGATACACGTGAAAGAGAAAAGTATCAGGAAAACCCCAAGCAAAGAAGAGAAATCGTCTGCTATAGGTGTGGCGAGAAAGGACACATGACTCGATTTTGTATGTCGGAGAAGAGATCTAAGAAGCCTAGTGAAGTAGAAAAACCACACACGGAAAACGTTAGTAGAGTGAACTACTGCGAAAATGAGTTATACGCAGTAGACAAAAGAAAGCAACAAGAACAACCAGATGTTCCTGAAAAAAGACCTAAAATACAACCTGTAGCGAAGTGGGATAATAGACTTCAGCCCCGAGCAGAAAACGAACCAATTATATTAGATGTCTGAGACCAATTACAGCCTATAGAACTAGGAGAGGCACGACCGGTTAGAAAAGTCTGACGAAAACGAGAACCTTCCATTATAGACCAACTAACCCCGTACAATGTAATAAACGATATATTGTCCTTACTAGTTAAAGCCACGGTAGGGCAGATATTGCAGTACCCAAACCAGAGAAGAAATCTGGCCCAAATCCTACGTCGACCTTTGGTAGCCCGAGTGCCCCAAGAAACCCAAACGGCCCAAGAAACCCAGGAAACTCATGTGGTGAATTTTAGCAATAATCTCAGGACCACTGCTGCCCACTGTTATATCAGGATCAAAGGAAACCCTATACGAGCCGTATTGGACTCAGGTGCAGCCGTAAGCATAATCACGAAGAAACTTATAGACAAATTAAAGCTAAAAATCGACAAATCTTCATCAACGGTGGTTATCACCTCTACTGGGACCAGGACACGTGCGTTAAGCCAAATCGAGGACCTGAAAATAGCCATCCAAGATGTCCTTATACCTAGCACTTTCCAAGTGATTGAGTCCGCAGATGAGACGTTGTTACTTAGTAACGATTGGTTCCATAGAGCCCAGGCACGGATTCACTTCGACGAACAAAGACTTCTTCTTAAACACGAAGGTAGAAGAATTGAAGTTTCTATCTTTAATAGTGGGGCGAAGAAGTTAGAAGTACCCAAAGAAAAAGAGATATTCGACGATGATAGCGGAGATGAGTTTGATGAATATACTTACGAAGATGAAGAAATAGTTGAGGCAGAAGGTTACTATCCGCAAGAAGCCAGCGAAGATGTTAACAAGCTATTCTATAAGCCCTGTGAAGGAGTAATGAGCCTAGCAATCTATCTAATGAATATCGAAGAATTACTGATCCAGGAAGATACCGGAACGAAACCTACAGTGGAGGAACAAATAGAAAGATTCCTCCAGAACGATACTTTAGACGAGGAGGAAAAGAAAAATGCAGAAAAATTCTTTAGAGAAGAAAGAAATCTGTTTACTGATAATATGCAAGAGCTCGGGGAGACCACTGTCATAACACATCATATCGATACCGGCGAGGCCAAACTGATAAAGCAAAGAGCTTACAGAGCATGCCAAATGAGCATGAGTTCATAAAGAAAGAGCTAAAAGAAATGGAAGAAAGTGGATTAATACGAAAATCCAATAGCCCGTGGTCATAGTCCTGAAGAAAGGAGGAAAATTATAACTATGTATAGACTACCAAAAGCGTAAACGAAGTTACGAGAAAAGATGCTTACCCACTACCTAGAATAGATAACCTATTAGAGACCTTTAGTGCTGCAAGTTGGTTTTCTAGCCTAGATTTAAAAAGCAGTTATTGGCAGGTGAGAGTTAAGGAGGAAGACAAGGAAAAGACGGCCTTTATAACGTGAAAAAAACTTTACGAATTTAACATTATGCCATTTGGCTTATCGAACGCGCCAGCCACCTTCCAGCATTTAATAGACTGAGTCTTAGAGGTGTATATTGGAGAATTCGTGGTTGTATACATGGACAATATTAATGTGTACTCGAGGACATTCAACAAATATATAGGACATCTAAAGAAGGTGTTTGATAAGTTAGCCGAAGCAGGGTTAAAAATCAACGTCGAGAAATGTGATTTTTTTAAACCTAATATTCAGTTCCTTGGACATATAATCAGGAGACAAGGGATCCAAACTGACAAAATAAAGTGGAAAAAGTAAGAAGTTATCCCATACCTAGCACACTGCTCTAGTTAAGGGGATTCATCAGCTTTGCATCGTATTATAGAAGAATCATACCTGGATTTGCCGCATTAGCAAGGCCTCTACACTATTTACTCCAAAAAGATGTTAATTTTCATTGGGAATGAGAGCAACAAGAAGCATTTGAAGCATTGAAAAATCACCTGACAACAGCACCTATCCTGAAGTATCCCAACTTCGACGACATGTTCTACCTGTTTACCGATGCATCCGGCACCGGGTTAGGGGCCATTTTGGCTCAAAAAGAAGGCAAAAAGGAACATGTAATTTCCTACGCCAGCCGCAGTTTATAAAAGCTGAAAGAAATTACTCGGCATGCGAATTGGAGTACCTAGCAGTTATTTGGGTAGTCGAATACTACCACCACTGCTTTGGTTTCAAGCCATTCACAATCATTACCAACCATTCGGACTGAAATAGCTGCATAGTACGAAGTTGAAGGGAAGAAGGGCACGATGGATACTCCGACTACAACCATACAACTATACGATCCAACATAGGTCCAGAAGTATCCACATAAACGCAGACGCACTATCTCGAATAAATGGGACAGAAGAAGAAATTGCAGAAGTATATATGATCATAGATGAAAATAGGGAATATAAGAAAGAGGAAAATCAAGAAGAGAAACAAACTGATTCACCTAAACTTGAAAAAGAAACCCCAGAAGAAGCTACAGCAGATGAAAAGGAATCGAGTGAGATGGGTGTTACTTCGATGAACACGGAAGAAGAAGAATAGTTTCTATCAATGGCCGACTATGTACCTAGCGATCGAGATGATAGTGAACCTAATCAATATGAAGAATAGATAAGTAATGATGACGACCAGGAAAATTATCAGGAGTTGCTGGAACAGCTAGCAATGGAATCGGGCTGTATACTAACCTGGAATGGGTATGATGCAGAAAAAGAAACGTGGTAGTCTGATGATGAAAACAAAAAAGATCTACCAAACCTGGACGAAATGTATAGTGTAGAACCGCCGAAGTGGGGAAAACAAGATGGAGGGGTTGATTATTATGACGATGTCGAATGGGATAATGAGGACGTTGAAACCTGGTTAGAACCAGAAGAAGTAGATGATCGAGAGTGGGAAAATGAGTAGTACAATGATGCTGTAGAATGTGAAGTGTTCATGATTAAAGTGGAGAATGGCAACTCGGAAAAAGAAACCATCAAGTCAGAACCGGAAGATTACTCACCTGCCCTTAGATTTTTCAATAATGGAGTTCCTGGCCTTGGACTTCTTACTAGCCCATTCACTAACCCCGGAGAAAGTACAGGGAGAAGATTCATAATTGAAGAATACCGGAGAGAATTAGAATACCGAGAATCAGTCTTAGAAGCGTTAGAGTCAGATGATGAATCCACCCAAAGCAGAGGTGTAGTAACACCGAGTGAAACGGGGTCAGAAAATTGTAAAGAAAATACTAACCCGGAAACTGACGAAGAAGGAGATAACGAATTCTAGTACAGCCATGATGATGATGAGACTGTAACAACCCAAGAGGGAGAAGATGGATGCCATGAATTAGGTGAAGAAAGAGAAGTATTTATGATAAAGGTGGGACATGAAGACGAACAAGAGATAGGAATCGAAGCAGAAAACATCTTACCAGAACCAGTTGAAAGAACCTGATCGATTCTTGTAATAGCCTACGAAAAGTTAGGAACTGCATATCACAGGAATTTAGAATACGTAGGCCCCAGTCAATCCTACGGCAACACCTACCAAGTATATTATCATCTAACCAACTTCGAACACCTTGCACTAGAAATCTTCGATCGACGCAAGGCCATGTACTGAACTAATTTTCAAGGGTTCAACCTAATGGCATCCGACCCAAGAAAATTGTTAACACTAAAAGAATAGATAACCTCTGGGGCAAAACAAGAACAAATTAGATGAGAATACTTACATGACACAGGTATCGATTTAGAATATTTGGAACCATTGAACATTTCAGCCAGCGATGCTGAAAAAGCAGCCAACCAACGAAGCGATCGAAAGCCGATTAATCTGAAAGCGAGAGAACTCAAAATAAAGAATTAAAAAAAAAAAAAAAAAAAGGATACTGTAAATCTGACGATAAACCCAATCCAGTCCAGGTGGTCGGTGTCCTGGCAAGAGAAATCCAAGAAAATGGAAGAAGAAGACTATAATCGTTTGAAAAGATACCTACAAGAAGGATACATAGAAGAAAACCTAGAGAAAAGACAGAAGAAACAATTAATTAATAATAGTAAATCATTTTGCCTAAAGAACGGACAACTATATAGGGTAAATAAGAAGAATCAAGACCAACCGTTGAAAGTGGTACAGAAGTACGAAATCGATCCCATCCTCCTATTGATGCATGACCACCTACTCGGAGAATATTTTGGAGCTAAAACAATGTTTGAGAAAATTCGTAAGACCTATTATTGGCCCCAAGCATTTGAACATGTTAGAAGATATATTCAATCATGCGAAAGTTGCCAAAAAAGAGGGAAAAATAAATATAATGGACCCTTACAGCCTATACCGGTAATGATGCTATTTTATAAAGTAGGGATAGATATCGTTGGACCCCTACCGATCACACCCCGAAACTCGCGCTACATAGTCGTGGCAACTGACTATATGACAAAATGGCCGGAAGCCAGAGCCATTTCGACCACAGACGCCCAAAGTATAGCAGACTTTTTCTTTGTGGATATTGTGTGTAGGCACGGATGCCCCGTAAAAATACTCTCAGATCATGGTACCCATTTTAGGAACCAACTGGTGAATAAATTGCTAGAAAAGTTCAAGATAAAGCACCTGCTATCGACCCTGTACTACCCACAGACCAACGGGTTGGTGGAACGGTATAATCAGACCTTATGCGAATCCATTGCCAGGTTAATAGATAATGTGAGCGACTGGGACTCGATCATACCTGCAGTATTGTTTGCGTACCGTACTTCTAGGAACATGACCACCAAAAATACACCATTTTTCTTAATATATGGAAGAGTAGCATGACAACCTGTTGATACTGATGACCTATTGGAAGAGACAATAATACAAAGAATGTTCCAAATGTCAGAAGAATTACCGATAACACGCTACGAGGCTGTGCAAAGAATCCAGCAAGCGCAACAAAAACAGAAAGAACGACATGATCACAAAGCCCATTTTCCGCCTAACTTGGATATTAGTGATAAGGTCCTGCTGTACCAAGCATCAAAAAAATATAACAGAAATGTGAAGTTGGAACCAAAATGGGATGGCCCATTTTATATCCATCAAATACTAAAACGGGACGTCTATAAATTAAGGACTATAGAAGGAAAGGTCCTGGTAACACCGTTTAATGTCGCACTACTAAAAGTGTACTACGATCAACAATAGAGAAAAAAAAAAATTTTTTTAATAAAGGGGGAATTTAGAAAATGGAAATGAAATTACCAAAAAAGGCGAAAGGGTAATAAAAGAAAATCGACTCAAAGTCAAGATCAAAGAAGAAATAAAAAGATATAAAAAGGATATGAAAATGGGGAAAGAGAGAGTAAAAATTTGAAGATCGTCAAATACTATTCATATATATAGCTAAAATGGTTAGAAGATCGATTACGTTAGATGAAATCGTTAATGACATCACCCGATCCGAACCTACCGAAGTAACTCCGATTCTGCCACCCTATCGTGACTCGGATGATCTGGCAAACCAGATAACACTGACCTGTCTCCTACTTACTCGATCTATTCAGCTTTGAGACAGAATCAATATCTTGGTATACTCTTACTACTTGGGGGATGATCTTCGCAGCAGCAACCCCAGCACAGAAGAGGTTACTTCGTGGAATAGTTACACCCTACTATTACGCCGTCGCTCTTAAGGTGTATGATGTCTTCGTCGTTGTAAGAATGGCTCAAATTTACCGTACGGAAAAAGTAGATTATCAGGATCTTTGGGTCCTAACCATTGACAAAGTTAAGCAAGTCAACATGCTAAGCTCATGGAACTCGCCTTTAAACGGGGGCGAAATGTGAGGTCGGGAAAACATGATCTAAAAGATGCCATGCCAACTCACATTAACCTGATTATAACGATCTCTTACCGAAAAAGGAGTTGCCGGTAAAATATTGGATATAACGAAGAAATTAGATATACCCCGGATAATTAATATAGCGAAGATAATAAATATAATCGATTTA